GATTAGATAACGGACCTCGTCTGGGGCGAGATCCTCAGGGATCAGTTATGATTCACTTAAATGCCGAGCTGATGCCACGCGGTGCGCGTCTGAGGTCGGCTTGCGTTGTGGTGCCGAGCTCGGAGCTCGGCTTTGCAATACGGATAGTACAGATTCCAAATACACAATAATTCTTTCATATAGATAGATATGCACATTCTTAGTTGTATTTCTAATTAAGAAAGAAAGAAGCTCGAAGTCATATTTTTTACTTATAAAAATTATAATTACAATTTTAGACTTAAAACTATGGGTATATAATTCAAACTATGGGTACATAATTCAAACTTTAGTCAACTCTAGTAATTCTATAAAATTATAATTATTTACAAAGAATTTAGTCTGCTCTTCCACCCTATATTTTAAAACAACTAGAAATGCTAGAAACACATGCCAAAACATAAATAATTTTAAATAAAAATCTCATCGTGAGGAAGCACAGTAACCAAACCAACATATAAACCTTATCCATGTCCTGAGTCACCTGTTGAATACATAATTTAGCAAAACCAAATGACAAATATTATGTACGGTTGATCATATAATATTGACTAGACACTAATTGTGTTGCTACAAAATCCAATTGAATACATTCTGTACTTGGAGATACTTATTAAGATGTTCAGTACTCGATCATCTTTTGTCAATATAATAATATAAGAAGTTTGTGATAATGAATGTGCACTCTTGGAACACAACTAACCATCCAACCGGAAACAACTATTTTCTATATATAAAATTTTTTAGAAAAGATAATGCTTAAAATTAATATTAATAAAATAAAATGCTGGAGGAGACACATGCATTAGTTTATTCTGTGTGACAATGTGACATCTTTGACAGCTTGTGTCATTCAATCATCGCATTTGGTGAAACACTATATTTTCTTTTTCTTTTTCTATACATGGTTCTATTTCTATACACTAGCTACTAGTATATATGTTCAATTGTTCATGAATAAAATATACCTGTCCAGTAGCAATAATAATTGTTGATCCAGTTTGATTTAATCTGAGCCATTATGCTCGATGCTGTCTCAAGTTTCAACCGTTACCAGCATTTTCCATAAGGTTAAAATAATACAAAGAAGGTATAGTTTTTTTTACAGGATTTAATCAAAATAATGCATTTCAGCCTCGATGGATATTAACTAATTACTATTGAATTTCCCATTCAGTCTCTACTGATTCTTCTCCAAAACCCAAAAACTGTCACATGTTAGGGTTACGCTACTATACTAACAAAATAAAAAAATAAAATATCTAAATGTGATTCTTCTTGTCTTCAATACAACAACCAGCTTAATTAAAGGTAGTATAATCCTAATTAAAGGGAATCCTACATATATACATAAATTGGGCTGATGACATCTAGGAATTGAAACGAGAGAAATAATGTGCCATTGACGTGCCACAAAAAGCTTTAATTGTGGTACTCGTAAGTCAAATTAAGAGGGCTTGGGGATGTCCTTCTTGGGCCTTGTAAGGCTTGAGCTCGTGATTGGGCTTGTAACATTGCCCAATCCATCAAAGATGTCTTGGTCTTCCAAGAAGGTTTTGAAGTATCAAAGGAGTATAGTTGTGTTTCGAACCACGGCGATGGAATACTTGAAGAGAATCCTACAGATATACATAAAGTGTTGCTATTTTTGCTTGAATATATATATATATATATATATATAT